CATGGGCTAAGGCAAGAAATTATTTAATAGAAGGTTTAACTAACAATTTACAATATCCATGCCGATTTAAAAAATTAGGATGCAAAGAATTTGGCACTGAACCTCAAGTAAACAAACATGAAGTATCTTGTCCATTACGTATCTTCAAATGTCCTATGGGTTGCAGTGAATCTGGTATCTACAAATTCATATTGGAACATTTGAATAGTGTACATAAGAATTTGAAACTTACTTCAAATTTAACATTTACAACAAAAAGCCTATTAGCCAAAAGATGGACATTGTTTGATTCGAAGATATTCACAATATCATTTTATTCTCAATGTCATGGTATAAAATGGATAGCTCGATTATGTTGCTCTAATGAAAATCCGAGGGCCTATATTTATACAGTAGAAGTTTTAAAGTCTGCAGGGGAATGGTCATTAATAAATAATGCTGCTTGTTTAAAAGCAGGTACTACCGGAAATGAAAATATGACTTTGGATTGCGAATCTGCAACATTTAACGTCTCAATAAAGAAAGCAACATCTTTATAAAGAACAAAAAAATAGGTTTAATTAAAGTTAAAAATGGTTTTTGAATCCTACCTTTCCAATGTTTAAATATAATTATTTCAAATGTGTTTTTATATTAATAAATGTTTTGAAAATAAAATAAAAAAAATTAAATTACCTAATTAAAAAATAAGTCAACATCAGTCAATTAGAGTTATATAGTAAATTTAAAAGTAAACTACGTACACGTCATCAATAAAACAAAAATTTTACGCATTGGTACCAACACTAAATGACTAAATTGAAGTCTGTAATTGAATATTTGAATGCATTTTAACCAAATTAAGTTGGCAACAATTGTGATGTTGTCATGTTTACATTCAAATTTTTCATATTTAAATGACACATAAAAAAGAATTTGACGTTTTAGAATTTCGAAGCTGTCAGTTGTGTTTTTGAATATTTCGTTTAATTCGTGTATTATTTCGTTTATTTTGTTTGTTGTTTGTGTTATTTTAAATCGTTTAAGTTTTCATTGCCGTTTTTGTGTTTGTTATATATCGTTTTTTGTGTTTCCTATATTTAAAATGCCGAAGCATTTAAATAGTCGGAGTCAAGAGTTGGTGTCATCCTTAATACGCTATTTTGAGGCAGAACGGGATAATAATGGGCCTTTGTTACTTTTAACAGCTGTTAGAGAGGTAAATAGGATTATTATTAATTATATATTAGAATATTTAACAAAATATATATTGGATACATAAAATAATAATATATATACCAGAGACTGACTTTAGATGGCAAAATTTTTGGGTTTTATATCAGAAAATGTCTTTAAAAATGGCTAAAAACATACTTTTGGCGGTGCATCATATAGGTTATAAAAACTCAGACTTTTGACATTTTGGTATTATTCATGTAAACGCCATCTATCGCCCTGTAGTTGCACTACCACTTTCCCTTGATGCAAGGATTTTAGCATCACATTGACAACCGTGCCCGATCAGCTGATTGATGACGTGTACGTAGTTTACTTTTAAATTTACTATAAATAAAACTTTAGTAAGGAGACTAAACTAAGTCAAAAGGGATTATTTGAGAAATCCAATAAAAGGGTCTCAAAATTTTAAATAGAAACTATATATAACTTCTTAAACAGCAAATATTTGGATACAACAAATAGTTATTTACAATGCGAAGCCGCACAAACTGGACCTAGCAATGGCCTTGGGCAATATAAAACAATTTTAGTTGATTAAGTACTTTAATGACAAATTTGATGGTCAAAAATATAATAAAAGTTTACACATTTTATAAAGGGCATAGAATGTCTAATCAGAGCTGGCCAAGTAGAGTACTTGTACTCGTATTTCAATTACGAGTAAAAAAGTACTCGTACTTTAAAGTAAAAATTTTTACTTATAAGTATTTTTCATTTGAAATACTTATTACTCGTACTTACAAACCAAATTCAATGTTCTCGTGGAATTCACGAGTAATATATACGAGTATTTCCGTTTATTATATCGATGCCTTTTTGCCAAAATATCGTAAGCATCAAAACATTTTGTTTGAAAGTCTGTTTTAAATTATATAATATTTTATAGCCTATAGGTTTTATAACAAGTATATAGGTAAAATTATAAACTATTTAAGAATTTTTATTTTATATTTTATGTACAGGGTGATCCCCTATAATGTCGCCCCCTTTAACTTTTTTATTTTAACTGTCCCAAAAAATTTAAAAGTACCTATGGTTTTTTTAATGGATCACCCTATAAATGAATTTATTTTTCGATTCCTTGTAAAAGTCTAAGCATAATTGAATCGTTTCTGAAATATTCGAATATGCGATCGCATTTGAAATGTTATCATTAAATATTTTTTTAACTGTTACAAATCAAGAGGCCTCAGGATAACAAAATGTTTATTGAAAAAAAATAACTAAGTAAAAATGCCGTATTTAGACAGAGAAAGAAACTTTTTTAACTTATTATTTTAAAAATAATTTAAATATTTCAGATATATATATGAAATATGCTTATAATCGAAAAATAAATTCATATATAGGGTGATCCATTAAGAAAAAATAAACTTTTTGTTTTTCCCTACTAATTAATTTTCCAATATTTTTATACGTAGAAAAAAAGTATTTTTCAGTACCTACGTAACGACACTTTTAATTTTTTGGGACACTTAAAATAAAAAAGTTAAAGGGGGCAACATTATAGGGGATCACCCTGTACCTAATGTTTAATATAAATAATTTTATAAATTTGTATTTGTATTTTTATAGCTCAGGAACAAAGTATGCAAAGAATAATCAATTATATTAAAAAATTTTTTTTCAAAAGTACTCGTACTCTTTACTCGTGTTTTCACGATTACTACTCGTAACCGTAACCTCTCTTTACAAATGTACTTACGAGTAAAGTAGGTACTTACAAGTAAATATTTTAAGTACTCGAACTTAAAATTTTACGAATTCTTATATCCAGTAGTTTTAATCATTTAGATATTAAATCAATAAAAATATTTTTTGTAAAATGTTTTAATTCTGGTAGTTTGGAATTTTAAAAATTGGAAAATTCTAAAAAATCTTAAAATTAATAATTTTGAAAATTTGTACAACAATTTTTACATTTATACTACCGTGCGAGATTTTTCCACAATATTTATTTTATATATTTATTTTAAACTTCTGTGTGAATGTGTCCTAGCTATCACAATCCACATTAATTTAAAGTATGCATGATCATGATAATTTAAAGTATGCATGATCATGATAGCTAGCACAATTGTGCTAGCTATCATGATCATGCATACTTTAAATTTAGACCAAGTTGTATTTGTTATATGGTTGTACTCCTAGACAAAAACTTGTTTTTATCTAGGGTTGTACTGTACAGTACAGTACAGGGTGATCCCCTATAATGTCGCCCCCCTTTAACTTTTTTATTTTAAGTGTCCCAAAAAATTTAAAAGTGTGGTTATGTAGGAACTAAAAAATACTTTTTTTCTACGTATAAAGTAAATTGGAAAATTGATCAGTATACAGGGAAAAACAAAAAAAATTTTTTTTTTCAATGGATCACCCTATATTTGAATTTATTTTTCGATTCCTTGTAAAATTCTGAGCATAATTTATATATAAACCATATACCTAAATTCAACCGTTTCTGATATATTCGCATTTGAAATGTCATCATTAAATGTTTTTTTAAACTGTTAAAAATCAAGAAGCCTCAGTATACCAAAATTTTTATTGAAAATAAATTACTATAGTGACATTATGTCAATAAATGTTGTTAAATAAGTAAAAATGGCGAACTCAGACAGAGAAAGACAAACCATTTCAACTTATTATCTTAAAAATAATTTAAATATTTCAGAAACGGTTGAATTTAGGTATATGGTATGATATATGAAATATGCTTAGAATTTTACAAGGAATCGAAAAATAAATTCATATATAGGGTGATCCATTGAAAAAAATTAACTTTTTGTTTTTCCCTGTATACTGATCAATTTTCCAATTTTCTTTATACGTAGAAAAAAAGTATTTTTTAGTTCCTACATAACCACCCTTTTAATTTTTTGGGACACTTAAAATAAAAAAGTTAAAGGGGGGCGACATTATAGGGGATCACCCTGTACATACATGTAGTAGTAGTAGGTTCAGAAGAAAAACAACAGGCATGTGCGTTTCATATTTTCCCTCCCGTAAAGATAAATAAAAACAAAACCATCATAATTATTGTTTCATCAGCGATGCACTAAATTAGCCATTAAATGGCTTAATACGAAATATGTTATGTTATGGCATAAATGTTAATTAATTATATTTAATTGGCGAAAATTATCGCAACTTCAAGAACTTAAACACTGTTTGAGCAAGTATCCTGCACGGATGTTCGGTCTAACCGAGTTTCGGTTTCGGACATAAAACAAACTTAACATGCCCTAAGTTTACAGTTTAGTTTAGATGAAATAATGCGAATCCGACACACGTCAGAATGGTCGTAGTGTATTAAATTTATATGGAGACAAGACAAGTTCATGAAAGATGATAACAGCTTTAAGGTTTGATTGATTATCCCTAATATTGATTGTCTAGTTTACGGGGATTTAATGGGATTTGCAACATTACTATAATTAATCAAAACTGAGTTTTGCCTGTTCATTAATTAACAATACAACCAAGACAGATGCATTGATTTTTTGCAAACGCGGCAGATTTCCAATTGATTTGTTAATAAAGTTAATTTAATTAAAAGTTAACTTTTAGCAATTGCTATACCTATATGAAACTAAATATGTAGGTACCTACACTATTGTAAATTATAAGTACCTATTTTAGGTAACATTTTTACTACAAATAAATATTTTATAAGGGTATAAAAGGATTCATGAATAGGAAAATTTGAAAAACTTATTTTAATAGAGCAATATATAAGTTATTTCAAAAATTTTATTAAAACAAATATTGGAAAACAGTGTTATGTGATAAAAACATTAATCAAAATTTAACGTTTTATAAAATAAAACCAAAAACTAACTAATCAATAGAATAATTCTTGTAAAATATTACACCTACTGACTGAGTGCATTAGTGTCAAAAAGAACATACATTCTAAATATGGTAAAATTTGTAAATATAATATAAATCATAATTATTTACCATCTAATTAATTTTCTTAGAACAAGTTTTGAACTAATAATAATGTCTCAATTTGCAGATTCACATGCATCTATCCAGTCATTGTAAACATCCACAGGTTCGGATAAAAAGTTTATTGTTGTTTGAAAATCTTCCAAACACACCCTGCATGTTATCCGAGCTGTGTTTCGACCCTTGTCCCTTAAATTAATAAAAAAATGCATAATATTAACACCAATACCATGGCATGTTAAATATATGAAAAATAAAAAGCATTCAACAAAACTTACATTTTAACATCACAGGATTTCTCGTGGTTACAAAACGGGCAGTTAAATTGTATGTCCAAAGGTTCAATTGCCTTTCTTTTAGGTGCTGGTTTTCTCTTAGACTTCCTGCGACCCATTTTCTAATTGGAAATTATAAAAATCCAACAAGAATTTCCGGGATTTTGTTTATTTATGCAACGCTGTCAAAATTTTGACAGAACTCCCCTCGGCGTTGCCACATCATCAAGAATTTAAATAAAAAAATTAATAAAATGCCTTATTTTTAACACCATATATCCAGTTTTAACAATTTAATATTAATTGAACAAAAAAAACATAATGCTTACCTTGTATATCCTAAAACGTCCATTCAAATTGCATTTAACAACTCAGCGAGAATTGGCAACATTCAATAAAAGCTTTGATATGAAGTTGGCAGCGAACGGCAGCCAACATTTAGAAGTGACATTTTAAAATAAAAGTATGGTTATGTAGAAGTGCAACATCTTTATTTGACTTATTTTATTTAAACGACCCAAACAGCTTTACGTAATAATTATTTATCATTTAGGAGGCTTCATTTACTCGTTAAACATGACGCTGCAAGCGGAATTTCAGGCGGTTGTGTTGGCAGCTGGTAGGGGCTCTCGTATGTCGGAAGTTACCACGGGAATTCCCAAATGTCTTTTACCCATTGGACCAAAGCCTCTCGTATGGTATTCCTTGTATAAATTGCAATGTGCAGGGTTTTCAGGTAAATTGTAACTCTATTAAGGGTGATGTAATAAGTTGTATTTTAGACGTAATCATGATTGTATTGGAAAACGAAAAGTCTGAAATACACAGCGTTTTGGAGAAGACGAACCTCGACATCAAGATTGATTATGTGTGTGTTTCTGAGAAAGATGAGGATCTGGGCACTGCAGAATCACTAAAGTTGATAAACGATAAGTTAACATCAGATGTACTTGTCGTTTCTTGTGATTTTGTAACCGATGTTGATTTTAAAGGCGTTTTAGATATATTTAGAATGCATAATGCTTCTGTAGCCTCTCTATTAGTACAGCCACAGCCTAATGAAGTGTTTGTAGTGCCTGGGCCAAAATCAAAACATAAGCCAGGTAAGAAGAAATAAATTGAGCTATTCATATTACAACTTAACATATCACAACTTTTTAGAACGTGATTTGATTGGAATAGACACTCAAACAAACCGGTTAGTTTTTTTGGCATCAGCAAGTGATTTTGAGACGGATTTCTCATTGCCTACAAGTTTGCTAAAAAAGCACACCCACATCAAGATTTATAGTAATTTAATAGATTCTCATGTTTATGTGCTTAAAAATTGGGTTGTGAAATATTTAAAGAGCGAAGATAGTTTTACGTCTATCAAAGGAGAATTACTGCCACATATTATTAAGAAGCAGCTGTCTAAACCACCAAAACCTGTTAATACTAATACTTCAGTTATTAATACAGGTAATGTGTTTTTATTTTTTTAGTCCATAATGTGAATAACATTTAACGCCAAAAATACGAATTTTTAACGCTATTCTATCATAAATTTAAATTGGTTTTATAGTTTAAAAATCATTTTTGTGAAATGATATCAACTTTTTACAAAATATAATTATTTTTTATAGTAATTGAGGGAAAAAATCATTTTATTGTTTTTAATGGGACATGCAATTTTTCTATTGCATATTTGAAATCTACGCATACAATTTTGATATTACATTTTTTTTACGTTTCAAAAACAATATTTGAGAACGCAACAGCAGGATTCAAAATGCTTCAATAACCTTGGGCGCCTGACGTCACGATGTTATAACAGATGTGTCAAGAATTACGAATGTCCATGAATGGGGTTACAAAGAGAAAAAAAATGTGTTGCACTTCTAAAAAAATTTATTCTTAATAAAAGTTTTTGCTTGATTTCAAACCCCCAGAATATGCCACACATTATATTGTCTATGGTCAATTTGCAATTTTGATTTTTTTGACTAAAAATTCTTGATAAAAATCATTGGTCAGTTTTTGTTTATATAAGAACGAAATTTTCTGAGAAATGTAAACATTTTTTGTTATCTTTGTAACCCACCCGTGGACACTGTAATATTCTTCAAAGTATTCAAATTGTTTGAAAATCACAGTAAAGAGAAAATTTATCGATTTTTAGTAATTTTTAGGAAACAATTTACCTATAGCAAAAATCGTTTTGGTTATTTTTAGTGAATACTCTCTAAATAAAAGTGTTTTGACATCATGTCCCAACCCCATTGCCTAAGGCAATGTTTTAAATTTATTTTATAAACAAATTTAATATATTTCTTAAAGAAAACTTGTCTTAAAATATTTTATTTAAGTCTAATAATAGTAATTATTTAAGTTATTAAAAAAAGTAATTTAAAACACATTTAAGCCGTTTTGAAAGGCCTAAAACTTAAACTATTTATGTTTTACAAAAAAAACTTGTCACTTTTTAAAAAATGACAGTTCTGGCCCTGATGTAGAGAATTGTATAATCTCAGTAAAACAAAATAACTGACTATATTTCTAAGGTGATAATGGAGACATTTTTGCCTTTTCCAAAGAAGACGAGCTTGATATTAACATTAGAAACACGTCGTCTTACAATGACCATACCGGAGACTTAAAGCCCACTTACCATGAAGACTCGATTAGGTGTTACGCTCATATCGCTCCAAAAGAAAACTTTGGCGTTAGAGTGAACACTTTACCCTCATACTGGTGGATAAACAACAAGGTACTTATTGTCCTCAAAACGCCAATCGTTGCTTACACATTTCTTGGTTAAGATTTCAGAAAAGTGGCCACAAATAACTGGTGATAGATTGGAATTTGTACCTGTGCATCCGAAAGCAGACGTCAAATCCAACCAGGTCGACAATAAATGTGTTATTTGGGAGGGCGCGAAACTAAATGAGAAAACATCGTTTAAAAACAGCATCATTTGCAGTAACACAGAAGTTTGCAGCTTTAGCAGGGTTTTTAATAGTATTATTATGAACAATGTTACCATCAAAGAAAAGTAAGTACATTTTTTTATAATTTATTGTTCTACTTATTACCAAAGGGTCTTTCCATCTTGAATCGACCAAGAAAAAAGTGGTAGATAGATATTTTTCAACGATTTTTTGTACAGTTTCTCTACCGAAATCGATGAGACCCGTATTTTTTCTTTTTACCAGTGATATTTTTTCTTTAAAATGCGATAACTTGTAAAAAAATTGTTTCAACCATTACAATTTTTTTTAAGTTGTAGGTGTGCAAAAAAATTAAGTGAATTCACACAATTTTTTTAAATTAATTTTTCTAAAAAGGCAAAAAAAATTTAGGTCAAAATTTTGACATTGCCACCTTTTTTTTAATTCATATTTTTTTAGTTTGAAGTTGATAATATAAACAACTTTCAACAAAAGTCCCAAGTTGGCTAAAATCAAAATTATTAAATTCGTGGTTTATCGCAAACATTTTGTATTTTATCTATGGTCATGAAACTGGGGTGACCTTTATAAAGTGTAATTTTTGACATATTTAACATACACGTACGTATTTTTGTAGTAAGTAAATTAAATTATGAAAGATTTGTTACTTTTAAAATATGTAAAAAGTATGTATGTATAGCTAAGTTAATTTTGGTTAAAATAATAAAAATAAAGTATAACTAAAAGTAATGAATCAAATGCACAAGGAAATTATAAAAACGCGATTTCGAAGAAATGTGGGACAATTCCGAAAAATGTTTAGTAAAATAAAATGTTAATATTCACTTACCAGCAAAACAAACTAACGAACTGTCAAATCTGATACTTCTTTTAAACGCAAAGGTTTCAAAGCCTTCTTAATTTATTTACTTCTGAACACACTTTAAAATATACAAATTTAATTAAGAGTTTAAAAGCGATATTATTAAAAAATGCATTAATATTTGGTATCAAATTTAAAAAAAAATGTCTTTTTTTATGACCAACGAACCAACCTCTTTTATTAAAAAAAATAGTCCCTCAGATAAAATACCAAATTTTTGCGATGAACCACGAATTTACTGGAAAATGGCATTTTTATTAAAAAAATAATAATTCTGAAACGACGAATTTAGCCAACTCGGGACTTTCGGTGAAAGTTATATTATTAACTTCAAACGAAACAAATATGAAGTAAAAAAATATGGCAATGTCAAAATTTTTACCTCAATTTTTTGCATTTTTTAGAAAAAACAATTAAAAAAAATTGAGTGAATTCAATTAATTTTTTTGGTATGAGGTAAACATTTACCTACAATTAAAAAAAATTGTAACGATCGAAACATTTTTGGCCAAGTTATCGCATTTTCAATAAAAAATGTCAGGGCTGATAGTTATACAGTGTGTCTCACTTTTCATGACTCCCATATTGTAGCTCCGTTATTAGTAATACGATTTTTACAAAATTTTGGTCAATTGGACTTACCCATCAGGTGATCATGACGAAAGAAGAAAATTTAATTTTCACCAGTGGCGTTCGTTGTTATAAAAAAAAACAACAAATTTTTTTAGAAAAATAAATTAGGCAATTTTTAAATGGTCTGATAATAGCATATTGTTATTTAGCATCATCGAAAACCCCTCTATACCAAATATGAAAATAATAGCATACAGGGTGTTGACGTAACTAATAATTAAATCTAACATATTCTATCACTATAAATTAATTATAACATCGATTTAAACTGAAATGTCAGATTTCTTTATTAGTTCAATTGTTTTTTACTATGGAAACGGTCATGGCACACTGATATTTTTTATTCACAATAATGTACCACACATTCACGATGCCCAAATAATTCAAGCATTTAGAATGGATCTTCATGCCAGTGTTCGGAAAGTAGCTCGAAATAATAAACCTGGATAAATGTAAGGTTTGGAGCTGTCTAAAACGATAAAATGGTGCGGCATTTCAAACGAAAAAAAAAATGATAGGATAAAATTCACCGATGTTATAATTAATTTATAGTGCTATAATAGGTTAGATTTAATTATTAATTACGTCAACACCCTGTATGCTATCAATTTCATATTTGGTATAGGGGGGTTTTCGATGATGCTAAATAACAATATGCTATTATCAGACCATTTAAAAATTGCCTAATATATTTTTCTAAAAAAAATTGTTGTTTTTTTGTTATAACAACGAACGCCACTGGTGAAAATTAAATTTTCTTCTTGCGTCATGATCACCTGATGGGTAAGTCCAATTGACCAAAATTTTGTAAAAATCGTATTACTAATAACGGAGCTACAATATGGGAGTCATGAAAAATGAGACACACTGTATAAATATCCAAATATCTGATATATATATTTATTTCTTTTATTTTATTATAACTATTTGTTGCTTTGAGAATTAAAGATATATGTTTAAAATTCAAAATTATTTAATTTATTATAATTTTAAACCAGGTAAGTTTAGGATGAAATCAGTCTGACTAATAATAGATCCAGATTCGAATCTGAATCTTTATTTTCATTTGTAGAGGGATTTTCTAAATATTTTTGTTGCTCTAGCCAATTTCAATCAAGATTACGTTTAAATGGTCTCTGTTGCGCAAACATTAAAACAAAAATACTAGGTAGTTTTTCATACATTTATACTTACTAATGAAAAGAATTTTATACAAAAAGATATTGATCTTGGGGTCACATATGACAGCAAATTATACTTTAATTTGCATGTGGAAAATATTATAAATGCGAGTAACAAAAATTTGGGATTCATTTTTAGAAATTCCTTGGATTTTCATGATGTTTTCTCATTAAGTCTACTTTACAACACTTTTGTTAAATCTAAATTAGAATATGCCAGTGTAATATGGAATCCTTCATATTCAACACATTCCGATTCGCTTGAACACATACAGCGTCGCTTTCTTAAAATTCTTAGTTTTAGAATTGATGGATTCTACCCACCAATCGGTTTTCCCCAAAATATATTACTCGTTTAATTTTGAAAGCTTGGAGAAACGCAGAATCAAAGCATCCTTAGTATTTTTGTTTAAACTTCTAAATAATAGTATAGACTGCCCTTATCTCTTAAGTAAACTATATTTTAGAGTTCCTCGTGTTACATCTAGAAATAATTTTACATTTTACCTGCCATCACCTAAAACAAACATATTAAATTTTTCACCCCTATACTTCATGTGTGGAAAGTACAATTATTTGCAAGACAGATTTGATATTTTTTCATGTAATTTTCAAATAATAAGGAGTATTACTATAAATACCTAACTTATTTATCTTTCCTTATAATATTATTGTGTTTTTGCTTTGCCATTATTTGATATTTAAAGTTTTTTTTGTGTCTTAACTTTGTTATGTATATTTTATATGAATTTATATGTATAAGGCTATATAATGTAATACTTGTTTAAATTTTCTCATCTTGTCATTGGTCCAAGGACTGTTAGATGATGTATTAAATAAATAAATAAATATCAGGATAAATATCGTCGCATAAATATCATGATATTTATCAAGATGTATATTAGGGTGGGCCAAAAAAAACTTTTATTTTTTTTTCTTTAGTTACTATGAAAATATCGTCCAAGATGACGAAAAAAAAATTCTGATAAAGTTTGAGCTCTTAATATTAATATTAAGAGGTGGCTCATCGCGATTTTTTATTTTCCATTTAAATAACACGGGAAAAAAACATTTTTTTTTTGTAATTTTATTGCGTTTTAACGAATCAGTAAGGTGTGGAAATCACATTCTGGTAGGGAATTGAACGATCTACAAAAAAGATCTGATATGATTTTTTGCTTAGTCAACTCGTTTAAAAGTTATTTGAGGTTAAAGTTCAACCTCAAAAAGTAAATGAAGACTTTTATAGTTTTTCATACTCTATTACGAAATATTGGCTCAAAAATATGAAAAATCATATTTTTCGTGAAATTTATCGAGTGTCCTTCGGTAAAACAATATAATTTTTACGAAATATCAATAAACGTTTTTTTTCTATACTTGATTTTTTAAAAAAATCGATTTTTTTTACATAAGTAATGACAAAAAAAATTAATCATTTTCTCAAAAAATAATAAATATTCTATTTACACTTGACTATTAGGTAATAAAAGCCATGTTTCAATATATTATCAATTAAAATAAACATTTTTATTTTAATTGAAAAATTATTGAAACATGACCTAATAGTCAAGTGTAAATAGAATATTTATTATTTTTTAATGATTATTTCCCTCATTATAATATGAACTAATCAAAAGCCTTGAATTTTCAAATAAATTTCGTTTAAATCACTAGAACTATTTAACAGCGATTAAATTTTAGCCTCCATATTGGATTTTTGTTTACGATTTTATGGTGTTATTTACAAGTTTTAACAAACATTTTTTAAAAAACAATAAAAAATAAGTTTTCTAGTTTACAAAATATCAATTATTACTTATTACATACCTTAAATTAATGGAAATAATCTAGAGGTATATCACTTAACCTATAAATTTAATCTGTCAAACTATGCTCAGTAAGTTTTTTATTTGATTTTTCTTTTTGGAAAATAGTTTCATGCAAAATAATTAAAAATAAAACCCCTCGACCGCTACGCGGTCTCGTGATTTTATTAAATTATTTTGCATTCAACATTTTCCAAGAAAAACCAAACAAAAAACTACTGAGCCTAGTTTAACCGATTAAATTCATAGTTCTCGTGATATAATATATGATTAATTTTTTTGTCTCAGGTAAAGAAAAAATTTCGAATTAAAAAAAAATTAAATATAGGAAAAAAACGTTTTTTTCACGGTTATTGATATTTCGTAAAAATTGTATTGTTTTACCGAAGAACACTCGATAAACTTCACGAAAAATATGATATTTCATGTTTTTGAGACAATATTTCGTGATAGAGTATGAAAAACTATAAAAGTCATCATTTACTATTTGAAGTTGAACTTCAAATAACTTTTAAAAGAGTCGACTATGCAAAAAATCATGAGATCTTTTTTGTAGATCATTCAATTCCCTACAAGAATATGTATTGATTTCTACAACTCACTGATTCGTTAAAACGCAATAAAATTCCAAACAAAAAAATGTATTTTTCCCGTGTTATTTAAATGGAAAATAAAAAATCGCGATGAGCCACCTCTTAATATTGATATTAAGAGCTGAAACTTTATCAGAATTTTTTTTTCGTCATCTTGGACGATATTTTCATGGCAGCTAAAGAAAAGAAAATTAAAAGTTTTTTTTGGCCCACCCTAGTATACAGGGTGGTCCAGGATTAATCTGAAAAATTTTAATGATCGATTGAGCCTGAAAAAACAATAAAAACAAACCCAAAAACATTTTTCAAAAATGCATACTAATGAAGATATAGTCCTTCAAAATAATTTTTAAACCATGAAACCGATTCTTTTCAAATTTTGTGTAGGTTAAGCTTCCGTCGATAATATAACGAAAATTTCCTACAAAAGGCCCAGTGGCGGAGATTTTGGGGGGTTTTCCATTTTACCTTCATATTTTCGACGTCACTGGATTTATCAGATTTATTATATCCTTTTTTAATGTAAAAGCAAAACTTTTGTGGTAATTTTTCATCAGATCAGTAGTTTCGGAAATATTTTAGTTTAAAATTTCAAAAACACTGTGTACAAAGATTAAATTATTAATTACAAACGTTGATTGTAATCCTCAATCAACGTTACAATAAAACAACCTAAAAATATGACGGGATCAGTAACAACTGCACGATGACTCCTTATTTTTATCTTGAATCGGTAACTTGGTAACAAATTATAACAGTAACAGTAGCTTGTAGCAAATTATATAAGACTCTCAAAATGCATTCCCCCAGCATCCAAACACATTTGACAGCGCCGTAGAAGGAATTGGACAGCCCGTGCAACTTGTAGTGTAGTTACATTAATCTCGTATCATGTCTATTAATTCTTCTCTAGTCCTTACTGTTGTCGAATACACACGATCTTTGACACATCCCTTAAGGAGTATTCTAACGGGTTGAGGTCAGGCGATCTTGCCGGCCAAGAGATTGGCCCAAAACGCCCAATCTAACATTGCGGGAAATTTTTGTCGCACCATTGCAGCACTTGAATGTGCTGGAGCGCCATAAAATTTTTCTAACAAAACTGGGCTCTTCTTTTTTTAACCAGGCGGTAATGGTTTTTGATCTTTGAGTGATTCAGTCTTAAAGCAGCTTTCCGGGAGCTCAACCCTGGATCATTTTGAAAAGTTCTCAGTATCCTATTTCTATTCCGTCGTCTTAATCTCGGTTCACGTACATTTTGTTCATTATTATTTCGTAGTTCAAAGTCTTGAAACCTCTGGTGCTAGCGTATTTCCATAACATAGTCCATACACATAATGAATATCTGCATATTCAATGTTGCTAAACTAATAACGTGGCATAATAAATCAAATGTGTTTGACAATCTGTTGATTTTCCAATAAAATCCAGTTTGGGTCGAAATATGGGGGTAAAAAGGGGAAACCCTCCAAAATCTCCGCCGCTGGGCCTTTTGTAAGAAATTTTAACTACACAAAATTTGAGCAGAATCGGTTTAATGGTTTAAAAGTTGTTTAAAAAAACGGTTTTTTGCATTTGAAGGACTATTAGTGTGTTAGTGTGTATTTTTGAAAAATGTTTTTGGGTTTGTTTTTATTGTTTTTTCAGGCTCTATCGATCATTAAAATTTTTCAGATTAATCCTGGACCACCCTGTATATATACATATATCCTGCCAGCCTTGAAAAATGTTACTCGTAAAAAGAGAAAAATCGATGTTTCTGTTCATTTTTCAAAAATTGTGAACAAAACAAATTTAAGTAAAAAAAAAAATTATGGTCTCATCGATTTTGGTGGAGAAACTGTAAAAAAAGTCCTTAAAAAATAACGACCTACCCCTTTTTGCCTGGTCGATTTGAGAAAGAAAAAAGTCTTTAAAAAGTTGTGATACTATTTGCTCTGACTTACTGACAGACATATGGGAGGCTTATTCTAGTACCATATTTCGCAACCTTCGACAAATCCCAACAATAATTTTGATTTTTTAGGGTGGCAATAGAAAATTGTATTATTTGCGATGGGGCCACTATCGAAGGTGGGTGTCAGCTCAAAAATTGCATAGTTGGAAGTCACCATACTGTTTCTGAACAATCCGAACACACGAACGAAGTTCTAACCGAATCTGACAGACTAATGGAGTTTTAGAGAGCAAAATTTTTATTTTTATACCGTTCTTGTACAATTTTTCAAGTTTAATTTATTTAAAATGTTTTATTTAATTAAACGTTTTATGTTTTTAAATGAGTTTGTTTTGGGGTATCAAAATCTGATTTATTGTCATAAAAAGCGAGATTCTATTCTTAAAATCAGGTATATAGGTATATAGGGTTTTAAATAAAAATGTATTTCAAAATGCAGGTTTTTATGTAGTTTTGGACTGTTTATTTACAACAATTCTATGCATTTTATTTAACTTAAAATCTTAGCAACAGTAATATATTCAGTATGAGTCAAACCACGTCAAGTGGGACCAGAAAATTTCACGAAATCACCGATTTTGAAAATAATCACATTATTGTGTAGTAGGCATGACTCATATGTCACAGTAAAAAAATTGTTTTAAAATTCGTTTTTTTGGTAATTTTATTAAGGTTGACAATTTTGTCAAACTTTAGAGCACGGTAAAATTGAAAAAATAAAATCTCTGGAACCACTATGTATAATTGAATTAAATTTTACACACTATTGTAGAAATATTTAGACTATATAATGATCATTTAACTAAGGTTAATTTGTTTAAATAAAATAATTTTGCATACATTTATTATAAACAATTGAAATTTTGTATGTGTTCTTCACGCTGAAAAAAAATTAATCTTGTGTCATAATATGCGGCAAACGTTTCCGTTTAATAAGATGTACTCAAAAATTTGTCTTTCCTATGTCATTCCGGAGATATAAATTTTTTTGTCCCGCTGTGCGCTTGATCAGTACGCGGCGCGCTTCGTTTCTAGCTCGTCCGTTCTAACGTTTTAACGGTGTGCCTGAACGAAGTTTAAGTCACATAAAAATGCCGCCAAAAACTGATTGTAGTTTCTTGTTCGGGACCCTTTGGTGACTTAAAAATGATATTTACCAAAGTTCTAGCTGCTCCTCTTTTCAAAATTGTTCGAAAATTCATGATTTTTTTTTAAATTTTTGTTTATCTCTTTGACAGAGTACACATTTGCACACCGATTTTTATAAAATTAGAGTAAATTATTTAGGAGACTTAGAGAATACTTTTTAATATTGTTCACATCATTTGATATATACAGGGTTAGCCAAAAATCACTTATTTTTTATAATGCAAAAGCGTAAATTCCTGATTACTTATAGCATAACACGCGAAAAATATTTATCCCCAATTTTTTTTTTAGATATTTCTACGTCTATCAGGTTACAAAATTGCATTTTTATTAACATTTTACAAGAAAAATAGATTTGTAATAAAATTTAATAAAATAACGCTTAGAGAGTATTTAAAATGTTGTTTAATTTAGGCTTTTTAGTAGTTTTCAATTTTGAACGAAAAATTGGTTGAAGTTTTTTGATCGGCACTCTTTGGTGATTTAAAAAAGATATTTACCAAAATTCGAACTGTTTTTGTTTAAATTTGTAAAAAATTAATTTTTTTTAATTATTTGTTTATCGCAAAGTCTACCTTTGCCAGAGTACACATTTGTACACCGATATTGTAAACGAGAGAAACTGTTTTTATACTGAGCACATCATTAGATTTATACAGGGTTAGACAAAAATCACTTTTTCATATGGTAAAACGCATAATGCATAAAAAAGATTTTTCAAAATGTTTCGAAAATGGGAGCAGCTAATATTTTGGTAAATATTATTTTTAAGTCACCAAAGAGTCCCGAACAAGAAACTGCGGAATTTTTATGCGACTTAAACTTCGTTCACACCGTGTCCTGACGAGCTAGCAGCGAAGCGCGCCGCGTACTGATCAAGCGCACAGCGGGACAAAAAATTTAATATCTCCGGAATGACATATGAAGGACAAATTTTTGAGTACATTTTATTAAACGGGAACGTTTGCCGCATATTATGACACAAGATTAATTTTTTTTCAGCGTGAAGAACACATACAAAATTTCAATTGTTTATAATAAATGTATGCAAAATTATTTTATTTAAACAAATTAACCTTAATTAAATGATCATTATATAGTCTAAACATTTCTACAATAGTGTGTAAAATTTAATTCAATTATACATAGTGGTTCCAGAGATTTTATTTTTTCAATTTTACCGTGCTCTAAAGTTTTACAAAATTGTCAACCTTAATAACATTACCAAAAAAACGAATTTTAAAACAATTTTTTTACTGTGCTATATGAGTCATGCCTACTACACAATAATGTGATTATTTTCAAAATCGGTGATTTCGTGAAATTTTCTGGTCCCACTTGACGTGGTTTGACTAATATAATATTGCTATACTGTATGTAAGCCTATATGCCTTAAACTTATATTTATTATCTATTAATCAAATTTTTGTATTATCCAAATGAAAGATGAATGTGTTATTAAAGTTAAGAGCTACGAAAAAAATGTTTCATATACCTAGATGCGAATTGCGAATAATGTTTTCATTGGTCCGTTTAAATTGATTTGAAGTTAAAAGCTCTTTTGCGATCTACGAATTCGTAAGATTTTCAATTTGATTTTATATTTCTTTATTCATAATAATTCAAAATTAACATCGGTGTCTATTAATCTTATTTTAAAAGGATTGTAAACTGAGTTGCCTACACCTTGGCGTCAAATTTATTAATTAAAATACCTATAATCTATAAATCTACGAAAATATCGTTCTTTAAACAACCATTAGGTACTTACTTAAATAATAAACTATTATCCATTATACTTGATATCTTTACTTCTTTTATAAACATTTGAACCAAAAAACGAACCACTTTTGACATGATTTGGCAACAGCGAGGATGCTCACTATTTGGCAACGTTGTATACTCTATGAGCACGTTGTCGGTTAACGAATTGTTTACCGCCTTTTTTCTATGGTTTACCGGGTGCACAATCCACACAACAACAAATGTTGTGTGGATTGTGACCGGGTGTATTTTTATGGTTTATGCTGTTTGTCAAGTTTTAAAGCAATTTTTATTCGCAAATTAACACAAGATTTTAAGGTTAATTCTATTAGGTAAAGGCGCATTCATGCTCACTAAAATAAGAAATAAGAAATAAGAATAAGAAATAAGAAATAAGATAAAAAGTTAAAACTGTGTAAAGTAATGGTTGCGTTCATGCTCATGAAAATAAGGAATAAGAAATAAGAAATAAGAATAAAGATAACAATTTTTAACTTTGGTTCTTATTCTTGCGTATAAAACTGCGCAAAGAACCAAAATGGGTCTGTGAATTATTTTGATGGGTTTTATTTGTTATATGCATGGAGCCATGGTGTTGGAAATCGCGTAGAGTGTCGCTGTCGATTGTTTACGTTTATAGCCAATATAATCCACTATAATAAAATATAATTTTGTGACAACATTTTTTATTTCTTAGGTTATCAGCATGAACGATCAATCGCGGTCTTATTTCTTATTTCTTATTCCTTATTTCTTATTTCTTATTCTTATTTCTTATTTCTTATTTTAAGTGAGCATGAATACGCCTTAAGTGTCAAAGTTTTGTCTTATTATTTGTTGGTCGTTTAATATGCATGTTAATAAAATTATTGATATTGGAGTTATTTATGGACGTTGCCTTGTAATAAATGGGGGAATCCCGTAGATCATTAAATGTTAATTATTTTCTTTATAGACCAAATGGCGAACGATTTACCAACCAATTTAAACGACAATCTGTTAAAAGAGAAAATCTTTAACTGCAGGATTTGCGATGAGCTTTGCATTTCCGATATATATTTAATAATCGGTAAAGGGAACGTGTGTTTGAAATGCTATGAAAAGTGCGAAGATAAATCGAGAGCAGAGTTAAATTCCGCTCATATCTTTATTATGTCTCAGCTTATTTTGCCATGCAAATACGAATCTAAGGGCTGCATTAAAAAACTGACATGTAAAAATTATGAAAAGCACACCAATGCTTGTGAATACAAAGTGAAACCTTGTCATATTGTGAGATATGCAGATTGCAAATGGAATGGAAATATTTTTGAAATATCTGAGCATATTTCAACATACCACAAAGAGCATGTGATGAAAAGTGATAATAACATTTTTGAAGTTGATACATCCTTATCTGAACCATACAACATAAAATTATTGATTGGTGACCACAAAAGCTGCCTTCTAACAACTTCAATTATTAATAATATGTTTTACTATGCCATGAATCCAATCTATCTATGTGAAGAAAATATTGAATATTCCGTAAGACACAAAAGTAAAGAAACACCAAACTTTTTAAAAACTGTAGGCACACTTACCAAGCTAAATAGTGTTTATGATGAATTCAATCTAAATAAAAACCCTTATGCAACAGAGGTAATAAATATGGAGTTATTACAACATCTTGCAGACAAAAACAATATAATAGTTAATGAATTTAATTTAAATCCAAGTGATATTGATGAAAAAACACTGAAACTACTGGAATGTCCTGTCTGTTTTCACATAATGAGACCACCAATTTACTTGTGTTTAAATGGACACAGCATCTGTATTTTTTGTCATGAAAAATTACAGGAATGTCCCACATGCAGTGAAGACTGGGCCACAAACAGAAATTTTTTAATAGAAGGTTTAACTAACAGTTTAAAATATCCATGCCGATTTAAAGAACTAGGATGCAAGGAATTTGGGACTGAACCTCAAGTAAGCAAACATGAAGAATCTTGTCCATTACATATATTCAGATGTCCAATGAGATGTGGTGAATCTGGTATCTATGAATTCATAGTGGAACATTTGAATAGTGCACATAAGGAGATGGAACTTACTTCCAATTTAACATTTACATCACAAAGCCCATCAACCAAAAAATGGACTTTGTTTGATTCAAAGATATTCAGAATCTCATATTATCCTAAAAATCATGGTATAAAATGGGTTGCTCAATTATGTTGCTCCAATGAAAATCCAAGTTCCTATATTTATACAGTCGAAGTTTTAAAGTCTGCAGGGGAATGGTCATTAATAAAAAATGACGCTTGTGTACGAAGAGGTTCTTTTGGAAATGATCATTGTACTTTAGCGTGCGATTCTGTGAAATTTAACGTCTCA